CCTAGGGGGAGGTTAACAAAGCTTGGAAAAAAAAAAAGTATAATGGACGCAAAGAATGCAGAATTTACAGGCTACAAGGACATTTGGCAGAGCTTCCAAGATAAGAAGAAACAAATAAATGCAATTCACAGGGGGAGATCATGACCACCGACTCACAACCCACTGACCCAAGAAACCCAGSAACTCAAAAGAAGAGAAAGACGCAGCATGCGGACTAATTAGCTTTAGAGTCAAAGGAATCATTTAACCAATAGAGGACAGAATGCTAATTAATAAGAGATGTWWAAATGGTGAAAAGCTTTGAACAATTCCGGGACTCCCATCTCTCTCTGTCTCTCCCTCCCTCTCTCTCTCTTTCTTTTTCTCTCTCTCATCCTCACCCTTGTCCCCCTCAATTCTTTTCTATTTCTCTCTACCTCACACTCATTGTTAAAATAAATCTGTATTATTGRCTTAGGCATACAGTCTTATTTCCACATAAACTCGAGCAGAGGCATCTCTTATTCATTGGATTGTAACAATGTGAGCTTTGCATGTGGATTAGGCAGAAGAATTCTAATTCTTGAGCATGAAGGAAAGAACAAAGTTGTTACAAAGGACCCCAGGCACTTAGCACTGCTAATAGTTGCCCTTTGCAAGGCAGCCCATGACATTGACTATCTACCTTTAAAATCTACGTCCTTGTAGGAGCAAGGAAGCCCATGAAGGAAGGGGCTTTCCATCTCAAATTAGATCATTAGTCTATTTTATTTTGARATGTCTATCTAGGAGCAGGAGGACCAGAATCTTCAGGGGGAAATTATAATGTTAGAATAACCTGCCCATGGAAAAAAATTCATACTTCTTATTTCTTCCTCCTCTCTGTGTTGCTGCTAGGATTCATAAAGCCATTTCTAATCTGGTTCTGAGTCACACATACCTCTTGGTAAGGGTGTACCCATAGGCAATATATTCCYTTGGTTAATTATTTTGACCAGAGTGAAAAGTACCTCTGTATAAGGAGGCAGCACAGGTCCCAGCCATCCGCTTATTTTATGTAGGGCTGGACTGGGAATTTAAGGAGGAGCAGGCCTTGTGTTAGTCACCTRCAAGAGGAAGGTGTCACCCTACGCATGAGCATAATTTCCTTTTCTATTTGCTGCACTGGGTTTCTTTCTTGCATAAGTGACCCCTTACCTTTGACTTAACCTGTTAGAACTGCCGCCTGCTATATAAGCGATCTTACACTAACCTCAAGTGAGAAAAATGTGCAGGCAGCACACATGTGCAACCAACCTCCCAGATAAAGATTGCATTAACAGTTATTAACATGTGTGGCTCTGCTAAATGCTGCCCTGCAGCTGGGCACCATCCACTGCCTACACATATCTATATATTTCAGAGTATTTCATCTTAGTTATCTTTTGGCATGAGCTATATTGAACACAATCAACTTTGGAGAGATCAGGGCCAATGAATAAAACCATACTAGTTAACTAAGTAGAAGTAGGATCTCAGCCTGAGCAATATCCTGTTTATCCATACTATTATCAGACTCCTTGACACAGTACTGTTCATGCCAATTATCTTTTTTTTCTGAAAAAAGCCGGTCATGGGCATAGAAGAGGCCATACAGTTTTTTTTTTTGAAAAGCAACTTCAGCGATTCAAGTACAGAGCATGCTGTGCTGCTTGTCCTCAGGCCAGATACTGGGCTTTGGTATACTTCATTTAATATCATAAATGTAGCTGCTTTATCATATTTTGAAACTAAAAAAGTTGAAYGTTACTTGCTAGACTGTCTTCACTTCTTTTGGGCATACCTGTTATAGAAGCTTATAGCCCAGTACACTGTAGTTAACCAACCCTACTTGGAAAGTCTGAAGTGTTAAAGGATTTCTCTGTTGGAAGACTGAGTATATGAAAAAAGGTATTCAGTAATGTATTCCTGCCTTTTTGGGAGGAGTCAYAGAACAGTATTTGTCAAAAATGTCTTCTGAGTCACTGCTCATTCCCAACTCTTTGTTGTGAATATACAAAAAAGCTCAATAGAGCTAAGCTACATTAAGCTATTTTCATGATGCCATCTTATTAACCTTAATAAGGATGTGGAGGTAGCACAATGTTTTGCAGTATGTTTTGTACTGAAAAATGGAAACCCAACAAAAATTGACAAGAAAATCATGAAGAGAAAAACTATTTTACTAGCAATCAGAGGGCATAGAGCTATTAGAAAAGTGTATAAGCTAAAGCTAAGAACACTGAACAGCACTGTCTTGTTCAGAGAATGATGAGAGCTGGGAAGTATGATAATGTGTTGCCACTGTAGGGTGCTATAAGCTTTTGACTTTAATAATACTGAATAARCCATTCAAATCTAAATTATGGCACTTCTGAAATACTTATGTTCAATTTTCTGCCAGTGCTACTCTATTTTAAAAGTCAATGTCCCCTACTGGCAGTTTCTTAGCAGGCATTATAAGAATTCCTTGGATGACAAATAAGCTTCCATTATTGATGAGGCACTTAAAATGAGCCTGCTTGAAAAAAATATCCTCCAAACTGTGTTAAAGATCTGAGCTGCAAGAGATAGTGACCTCTGTTTACTAATCAGTAATATGTCCCTATTGCTGGTTATTAGTAAATGATAAAGAGGATTAAATGTAGGGAGGAAGTCYTAAGATGTTTCCTGCTTTCTAGCATAAATCATGACAGACCCCACACTCTGCTAAATCAAGCTATCATAATGATTTTGGTGGAGTTATATCCAGTTATATAAGCATAGGGTGTCACCATTTAAGTTTTTTGTGCATTTATGTATTTATTTTTCAGAGAACTCCCTCTTTTCTTCTTGAGTGAATGACAAGCAAAAGCGGAGTATTTGCTTGTCTCAGCAAGTAGATTACCGATAGGTAGATATGGAACAAGTTACTGTCAGCTCCAAAGCATCTCACTAGTGGAACTAAAAAGAAAAATTAAAAAATCCTTGAAATATGMTAAATCAATAGTAGTATATGGCCCAGTTCAATGATTAGCTAAATTWCTTTAATTGATAGTCATCTCTTGTCAATAAAACTTGCTTCCATTTTTTGCATTGCTTGTTTCTGACACGATGGAAAAACCAGTCTAGAAGAGTGTCTGTCTGTGCTTCAACTTGGTTGTTTCCTTGAGGGTGAGAAAGGTAGTAAGGAAGATATAACTCAAGTTCTGAAATAGTCTGAGAAATTAAATTTCACTGTGYTTCACTTCTTCCTTCAATTAAATATTGATGTTATACTAAAGAAAACAAAGAGACAAAATGTTTAGCAATGARTCAGATTTGCTTTAGTCTAAAAAAAGTTCAAACTTCTTCTTTCCAGCTTTGAAGTATTAAGTAATAAGCATAGCTAACACCAAAAATTCACCATCCAATGAATATGATACTGGCTGTCACAGACCAGTCACTAAGAGACAGCCGGCCTGCTTTATGCCTAGGCTGGGGTCAGTACCTACCACTGTTGGTGTTCCATATGTATGCATTTTCCTATAGACCTATTCTGTCACACCAGACACCAAAGACTTAGCAAGGACTGCCTTAGAATAAGCCTTGGGCTTGGGTAGCAAAACTGGCCTGCTCTTCCCCATAGTTTCTTCTCTGTGTTCAAAGGCCATAAATACAGGACAATATCAATTTCATTTCTCCAGACTGTATTGTTTGCATCTTGATTTGTGTTTCTCAAACACTTTGGTTAAAGAAGGCAGTGCTGTGAGACAGGTTAAGCGTATCTCTGATTTACAAGTGGAACTTGTTTGGTTGAATCTAAAACGATAACAAATTAATATAATGTAGCACATGAATTGTGAAAGAAAAATATTTTTTAAAAAGAAATTCCTATTCTTAGGTGCTTTTATAAATCAAAGCTAGATGTCCATTTCAAATAAAAGTGTATGTAGATATTTTACATATATTACCATTTAATGCTAATCCTTCATTTCTTATGAAGAAAGACATCTGTTTCATATGGGAGATAAGTAAATTCTCAACATGTCTGTCAAGAGATGTATTCACAAAAGTTTCTTCCTGACTGTAAAAAGGTAAACAGATAGTACCTGAAAATTCCAGGACTGATATAAATATTTTTCACTTTCAGAGACACAGAAGTTGAGATGTACAAAATTCAGAAATGTTTGCCTGCTTGTATTCATTAATTCTGAGATTTGTGGTAATTAATAGTTTATATGTGATATTTTCTTGTCTGCTGCTCTGCTTCATCAGCTGTATTACATCAGATAGAACCAATGTTTAGACAATAACTTCATGCTACTAAGCACCAAGTCTATGAAAAGGTAACCATCAACAAAAATACAGACTATTACTAAGTTAATTCATGTCAGTTTTTGCTTTGTTTGTGTTCAAAGAAAGTCTTAATTTTCACAAAAGACAATAGGACTAAAGGTTGCCCAGCATCTTGTTAAACAACCTCCCTCATATTTAATTTAAAAAGTTCCCCAAATATAAAATAAGGGTGGGCTTGCATAAAATACATTAAACCCAGCCTCTGTATCTTAAACAGAACCAGGGAGCTGCATACAGTATTTCTATAAGAAAAGTATTTGCTAATACTAAGGCAGTTTTTAGCCTATAGACAAACTTATTTGCAGCCACTTTAAAGAAAGGAGAAAAAAGTGAACACAACCTCTTCCCTCCTTTGTTTACTGCTGGCTGTACTGAAGGAGAATGCAAATATGCAGAGATAAGAGAGACAAGATTTCATGTAGGAGGGATTTCCCCCCAGATCTTTTGCCTCTGCCCACGTTCTCAAACTGTGCAATACTTAATGCAGATCAAATCCCAGTGTGTGTTCCCATGTAACACTTCTACAAAACTTTTCTCTGGTGAAATATGGCATTACTTCATGTTCACCCATGTAAATACCTGCAGCTCTGTAGCTGAGAGGCGGCCCTATAGCTTTGCAAMATGTGTTTCTGTGGAAAATCCAAATGATTGTAGCATATTTTTCCAAATGGTAATTGCTTGGTTTTCTGTTTCAAGGTCTRTGAAGGCAGTTCTTCTTGTGAAACCCAACCCTACTGCACTTGAAAAGAACAGCAAGCACAGAAGGATAACAACTCACCCGTAGTCTTAATTGATCTGGTATTTCTACAAGGTGCCACCCTTTTCCACACCTCCTACCTCCTCCTTAAGTGACTCAATCTCTGAAGGAGTCTCTTGACTTTTCAGACAACTGGATGGGGAAGAACAATTCAGTTCTCTGTCTGCTTTGACTGTGCCTCTCTTCCAGGCTGAGTAACCACACTGAGCCACGCTAGGACACTGACTTCTGCCATACCTAGGTAAGGATGTTTACTCTTCTGGTTTTATATACCATACAGGGAAACTCCAACATTTTCAGATGTTCTGTGATTTCTTAATGTCCAGTTTAGGATGCCACTTCACGGGATCTGAATTTCAGGAAGTATGGAGAACTTGACTATGAAAATGCAGCTCTTAAAGTTTTATGGTTTAGGTGTTCAGATTCCTTGGATGTTTCTGATTTCTCCTAGCCATACCATCCTAATTACTTCATTATTTATATTATATTGCTAATTRTATTTTATTCTAGTGATAATTCTCTGATGATAAATTCACTGTTCAAACCACTTTTCATGAGTGGCTGTTTTAATGTAATTTTAGCTATTTGGTTCATTTAATTGTTTATTGTCTTTATTTGGACTTTTAATCTAAAATTAATGAGTATTTACTCGTTTCTCATTTCCTTGAATTTTCTTTAAGTTTATTATTTTGGCAAAAAAAAATAAATTATCAACAATTCACTTTCATTACCAACAATTCACTTTGCAAAAACACCCATTCTAATTTAATACAAGGAATTATCTATACACTGACCTGAACCCATGTATAATCAGGAAGGGTTCTTCATCAAAAATCTAGTAAATAGAATGAAGAAAATTAAAATCATCACCCCTTTTTCTACTCCCTACTAAAAAAACTCTATTACATTTAAAATTGAACATGTATTTCTAATTCAAAAATACATACAAACTTAGATTGTGACTTAGGTGATTTTTCATTAGTGACAGTTCCAAAGCTCCTTTCAAAACAGAATCTCCTCCACCCACATCTTGAAAAACCAGTTTTGAGAGCTCTTTCAGCTGCAAATAGATGAATGATTTCTGTCACACATTCACGTGTTCTGTAGTCCTACCTTGCCTCTTTTCTCTTTTTCATACATACACATGTTATTTCTATTTTCTGTGTGAAGTATTTTCTGTGTTACTGGATCTGTGGACAAAACAGTAGAGTAAAATATTCATTTGAACACAATGTATTATTTCCAGAAGTGGATACATGTATTATATGGCTATTGCTCTGATGTGTAACTCGTGAGAAAAAGAACCTGTCTAAGAACACATTTGTGTGATTCTTTAATGTCTGTAAAATAAAGTAGTAATTTTTAAATGTAGTTTTCAGCAAAAGGACAAAAAGACTAATTGCCAAACAAATAGAATCGTGTTACTGGTGGTAATTGTGTAGGGAAGGAAACAGAACATCAGTTATACATATATATCTACACTTGATAGAAAGGGCCTTTAATGCTATTTGAAGAGATCATATTCTTGTCTGTAATAACAAGTTTGGATGTGTGAAGGATTGTACAGCCTTGAATGGCTCTGGCTGTGATGKTGATTTGCAAAACCACCTTCATCTACAATCAAGAAATCCTTATTTGAGTGTAAGTWTCGGTAGGCAGATCTGACAGCCCARTCACAGCACTRTTGTGGTCTGAGGGGAGAAAGGATGGATATGGACAACAGCAAAATTGTCATTGACTTCCCAAACCAGAAAGATTTTACTTTACACACTTATGGGTGCTTATCTAGAAGGACACCTGCAATGATGTGTGTACCCAGGGTCTAGTTTTAGGGCGCGGAAATCTTCATCCTGTATCAAGTCAGAATTACTTTAAACAGTTGCTTGCACACACTTACTATATTCAAGAGAAGTGATGGAGAAAATAATGAAGTTTTCCAACTTCAAAGTTGTTAAATGAAAGCAAGGAAATACTGTTGTGTGKTTTTAAGTGATTAAAACCAGATGTGTTTTTCTTTAAAGTCATATTTGCTACATTCATCTCACATATAGCCATATGACATTAATATTAAGAGTTACAAGGGAAAACAAGGCAAAACAAAAAGTAGAGCTGAAGTAAGTCTGCAGTTCTAATGCAATAATTCWAAAAATTTGAGCTCTTGTTACTCACAGGATACTGACTATTCAGTTTACTTCAGAGAACAGCTCRTCAAGAAGATGAAATTTTGGTGGCAAGCTTCATATCTGGGATAGAGAAAGAACACAGTATAGGTCTACTTTCTTTCTTGTATGGCAAATACTAGATGCTTTCAAAAATCTGGAACTTGAAGGACTTGTAGCAAGCAGTAGTCAGCAAGCTGTGGCTGTGTAGAGTCACTTATGAAACCCAGTTGTTCCAGCTGGCATTTCATAAAGACATGTCAAACTCAGCAACTTCTCTACAATTCAGTCTGGTCTAGCAATGCAGCAGGAAGCAGGATGACAGGAAAATTCAGAAACATTCTATTTTTAAACTAGTTGTTCAGCTACAAAATTTTGTATCACCCAGTTAATTAATAACAGCGGAAAACTTGACATTTTAGGCACTTGCATTTGGTAATGCTTTATGTAAAAGACCTCAGTATAAAACYAAATATTTTGACTTCAGAGAAGGTGCGTCTCTCTTAACTCCTTCAACATTTACTATGTTGAATTCCTTATTATGCAGTGTGATTGTAATGCAATGCCTCCTGCCTCTAAGCTGTGGAAATTAWTATTTTTTATTAGAAGCAAAATACATATCAACTGACTACTTATTTATRAGGTCTTAATCACTGCCATAGCTAGAAGCCAAAAAGCAAAGATGGTTTTTGGTTGGAACTGGTTCAGTCTGATGTGGAAATATGAACCTTACAGGAAATGCTTCTATTATTATGTATTTTTTTTAATACACCAATGCATATGTGTGAAGCCTAATCACACAGACAGCTACAGCAAAGAGCAGGAGAAGCAAGGTAAAAGGTTTCTGTGATGGAGGAATGGGTGTGTCCAGATGATTTGAAAACTAGAAGGTCTGGCTTTCAGAATTTAAGGCAGGCCTGAGGTACTCTGCTGATCAGTCATTGCAGCAGATGAAAAGGAGATGTAGAAGTGTAAATATAGATATTTGTGGTAAAAATAGTGTTGGAGACTTGTGCTGCTTTTGGAGTAATTTCTTGCTAGGTTAGATGGACTTCTAGCTTTCCCTGAAGTCATGGCTGAGTTTTTTCTGAATTTCTTTAGGATCATGTTTGGATTTCTCTAAAAATGGCTAAGGGTCTGAATCTAGGACTGGCATGTCTTAAAACCATTTGGGAGCTGCTCACTGGACTGGCCGGGGCAGTTTTAATTTTCATTTAGAGTTTCCTGACGCTGTTTTAAATTCAAATTATACTGGAGTTGCATTCCTGTTTGTTTTTGTTTTGCATTCCAGCYAGAGTTGTTTTGCTTCAGTGGTTGACATCTTATTAAGAATGTCTGAACATAATTTACTTCTATAGCACAGTATAGAAAACTATAACTCTGCTTTCTCATAATCTCCTTTACAAAGTTAAAAACTTTTTTTTTTTATCTCACTGTGGTCTGAAGATGAGCTGTTCACTGACCTGTGTGAATAATGTGACAGTTCCAGATCTTTATGRGCCGATATTTTTAAACTAATGTGATCCTCTTAATCTCTTGTTCACTACTCTTTTCAAATACACAGGTACACACACACACACAGTTTAAAATAGGGAAGACGAAGGAAAAACTGCTTTGATGAGCTGTATTCGGCCTCTTTATGCAAGRTTCTTTTCATTTCTTAGATCCTAAAATTTAAATCTTACTCTGATGATTCTTGATTGCCTGTGCTACAGATTAAAGTAAGATTTTTTTTTTTAAAATTTGATATTTAAATTTTAATGAATTAATCTTTGATATGCAACTTGAAAGCTCAGAGGTAAGAAGCAAGCCTGGAGGACAAAATGGCAGTATTCTGTAGGACTAAAATGCCTGGGTTTAAAATTTCAGAATACCTGGCACATTTTCAGTGCTAACTGTAAAACGGAGTGTGCCTGTTTCTTATATTTATTTATGCATACTACTTTTGGGTTGGGAGACTATGCAGCAGTTTATTCTGGATGCTGTACACATGTGAAACAGAAATACTGCTTTGTCCTAAAAACATTAAAAAACGAATATAGGACAAGAGACAAAAGTATTAATTAAATGACGGAGGATGAAAGAAACACACTTGCTGGACTCTCAGGGATACAAGGAGGAGCTGCAAACCTCTTTATTGTCGCTTTTCATTTGATTTAATTTTAACAAAAGAAGTCTCATTTTTCCAAGTTTTATGATATATTTTCCTTAGCAAAATGGCTTTAAAAGTACTTAATAGAAAATAAATCCAATATGTTTCTATGCAAACTACTACTTCTTCTTGAGATGAAGAAATGCCAGTTCTCATTGCATGTAAARTATACTGAAATATCAAACTTTCTATTATCCTGGTACTGACTGTGTCAGATGTCCAGCTGGCCCTAAGCTAGAAAAGTAAATCARATACTTCTCTATCATCTTGGGACAGTTCAGGAAAATAGATAGTGACAGTGGTAAGAATCTAAAAAATTTGCTTGCTTGATAACCCACCTGAGCAGTTTCTAGGAAAAAAGCACAGATATTCTTTAAAAAAGTGCATATATTCTTAAAACCTTATATAAGTATTTTTAAAGGTATTTTATAACCTATTGCAAAATAAATGAGGCTCACCATAGCCCCAAGCGCATTTTTATTGTGTGGGAACCAGATCCAGCAGTCACATGCTTTCTACACACACTGAGCCAATGCCTGCATGATACCAACAAGTAAGGTTAAAAGAAAAGAATGCAGGTAGGAGCTTTCAAAATGCCAGAATTTTAAACTCTAATAAATAATTGAAATTTCACAACAGATTAAAATACATTCAGATTTTTGTACCCCAATACTGGTTTAGTATTTATATGTGTACTTTCTCTAGTTTTTTTATGTCCAGATTTTGGGTTACTGCTTCTTTTTGTTTGTTTGCTTTCTTGTTTGTGTTGGGATATTTTGTGGGAGGCTTTTTTTTTTTTTTTTTTTTTTTTTTTTTTTTTTTTTTTTTTTTTTTTTTTTNTTTTTTTTTTTTTTTTTTTTTTTTTTGTAATTGTCTGGCAGTGAAAGCATAGAAAAGAAAAATCTCCTCTAAGTGCAATCCATTGTGGCATTCACAATGTTTTATTGTCAGTATAACCATTCTTCTTAAGCTTTTGCCAGAATCCAAAATCTTCTTCACCTTCCCTCAGTAAAGAAAGAGCCACAGGCTCCAGTGTCAATCCACTCTATTTTAGGTGTGTGAGCAGTACACTTTACGTCTGCAAAAAGAAAAAAAGGATAACTGTGTCATCCAGAGAACCAGGAATGTTWCTGATTTTTAAGGACTGCTTCTGTCACAGAAACTGTTTTCTGGTGTTTCTGTAAATTTTAGCAGCCTGACAGTGGAGCTGGTTGTAAGCTTGCCAGCACAACATTGTTTTCTTGCAAAATGCTGCTTTACAGAAAAGAATCTATTTGCTGAAGAGGGTCAATTTTGGCCAAACTCTTAAGTCAGTGTTAGCATTTGGAGCTTTTTTAACTTAAAGAAGAATTTTCTGTCATCAAAATGCCTGCTTGATGCTTTTTCTAGAAAAGCTGGTATTCACAATCCAGTTTCAAAGTGAACCACAAAATATTTTGAGTGGCTCAACTTCCAGTTTTTTTTTTTTTTAAATCATTAGTCTTGGAGGCTTTTAACCTGATTTGAGGCAAGGAAAGAAKTCGGTGGCTGGAGAACCTTTGCAGAGCAGCAGAAATGCTTCTGTCCTGTCCCCCCACATTAGCTGCTGAGCACTGAATTGGAGAAACCTATCAGCAGGGCTGGATGAACTCCTGTTATGTGCCATGAATTGATACATCTTCCCACTGAGATTATCACCTCAGCCTGTTCTTCAATATTCCATCTCGCTCGCTGAAGGCTCTCTCCACACCGAGAGTCGTCAGGGAGGGAGCTCCCAACAAGGAAGGGGCAGTGTGACAGGCAGAAGGGCAAGGCAGGAATGCACATTGCTGTCACCAGGCAGGGAAAAGCCAGGATTGTGCCCCAGATTGTGAGGAGGGCTGTGGCCAGCCCTGAGCCATTGCAGCCTGTCTGGCTAAATGTGTGCAAGGAGGTGATCAAAGCAGGCAACAAACCTCACCTGTCTTTGGGGCTCATTCCTATTCTCTGCCAATGCTCACTTCCTTTTTTTGTCACATTGTCTCCTAGGTTCCCACAGAAGGACAACCTCCCACGGAGCAGATGTCAGCTTTCAGYTTACGGAAGCAGTCTCCCAATCCAAGCGGTAATACTGAGCGTCCTGTGCTTTCTCTCCCCGGCACTCGGAGCMTGAGGCATGGTCTCCCTCCTGCCCAGGCCTCGCCATGGCCCCGGCACAGCTCCCTCACCGGGCAGTGGCAGGAGGGCGATTTGGGCCTCTATGACTCGCTCCAGATGACAGACTATCGATATTGTACACAAACTGATTCAGGCCCAAACACCGGAGTTGGCAGCGGTGTGTGGTGGAGCGGGGGAGCCGGGCAGTGCAGGGCAAGGCTGTGGGGTTGGTGTGAAAAACCCACAGGAGTGAGGCAGCTGCAAGGGCAGTCGGGAGATCCACCAGTCTCAGCACTGTCTCTTTGACTAGTGCAGGCAAAATGAGGAGAAATGGAGGAAAATTAAAATGGGGGAAAGGAGAGAAAAGCTGTTTAATCATTGTCTGATGAGATTGTCCGCTCCTCTGGAGGAGTAAAACTTGAGGAGTACTGGAGTATTTGCTTTCTATGCAGAGGAATGACCAGAGGGAAACTAGAAACTTGATGAAATTTTCCATTTCCCTGAACCTCAAAAACATTTCTGTAGACTGAAAGATTTTGAGATGCATGAGGCTCAGGTAGGATGTGCCAGGCTTAAGTGCACCAAAATTGGTGTAGCCACAGCAGGGAACTTCTTGGCTCTACTGTRTTGAGGACAGAAATTTTAAAATGTCAAATGAAGACAGGGATGAGCTGCATCTGCCTGTGTTTGTGTGACCTAGTATGTTGTAGCAGATCTATGTTTCATTGTTTAGCTGAAGCTTGGGAGAATATTCATTAGGCCAGAAATGAGTACTCTTCAGCAAGCCMAGGGCCTCAGGCATTAGCAGATTGYTTGCAATGTTTCTTGACAGGAARACTATAAATTCCTTGGCTATCACCTTTATATTAAATTTCATGAAACCTTMTTTGCACTTAGCAATTTAAAAAGCAATGATTTCTGTGAAATCCAAGTGGTGGATGATATCAGTTTTACTAAAGTACTATTGTAAAAAAACCAATATGGCTCATGTAGGGTTAATTTTAATAGTTGGATATATACCAAGTACTTCTTGATTATACAGAAATGCTTATGTGATGTTCATGTTATCGAAGAATTTTTCTTCAAGATTCAGAGGAGGTTAGGGCTGATGGAAGAGCAGTGATTAAAATGTRTTGCAGACAGCTGAAAGCACCTTTGGCTAAAATGAATAGGATAGAAAGAATGCTGTAATCATTGCCACCCCTTTAGCTGCTGTCAGCTATCCTTTCTGTASAGTTTTCTCTCTGGCATGCATAAGCTCGAGCTCACTTTTTTTTCTTCCTCTGAAAAATTAACATTTCCCTTCCCCCCAATGCAAATGAATATGCCAAATTAAAAATACTTAAATATTTAGCAGAAATGAGGAAARGTACACATTTTTAGAGCAAATGAACTTTATATAGTCTTGTTTGCTAATTAAAATCATCTTCATTCTTGACAGTGACTATGAGACAAAATTATTGTTTAAACTGGTGAAGRTCCTTCTTTTCAGTTTGCAAGAAAYGTTTATTTTAATAGATATTCTAATGAACCACCRGAGCTGTTCAGACAAGCCTTCATTTTTTGGAAGTCTTTAAAGCCAGATTTTAATAAATATTTTTTAAGAGAAAAATTAGCTCAATAGGCAGTGAACAGGCTGATGCAGAGGTCATGCAGTGAGGACAGATTAGTTTTTGTTAATCTACYGTGATTCTCAGCTCATTCTTACAAACAGCATTTTTCATGTCCCTGGTCATTTGTAAAACAGSTGCATCTATGCTGCTTAAAAAGAAGAAAGCCAAACCTGGCCATCAAGGCCAAGAGCCAGAAGCACACATCCGTACTATCACTGCCATGGCTTAAAAATGGCCACTTCTCGAGCACATTTAATCTTTAGTCCAACACAGAACCAGAGAACATTTGCAACTAGGCAGACATGAGTGATCTGTCCCAACATTTCATTCTTTCTTTCTCCTGACAATATGAACATTTTTATAGGGAATTGAAACAGGCACGCTTTGAATTACAGACATATTTATATATACAATTTTAGGCTGAATTTTATCTTTGTATGTCAGTGTCTACTTATACAAGAAAAWTGTATTTAAAAATTAATCCTTGGCCATTGTCACTTAAGATAAATGTTTTGGTGGTTTACTATGATTTGATCTTCTACTCACTAGCTATTTGTCATTTTTTGAAGTTATCACTACAGGTAAAGTTCTTGTGCTAAAACCAAGAGGTACATTTTCTTAAAAATCAGAGCAGAATGCCAAAACACAGCACTGAMAAATTACATATTACTGACTGCATGTGTTTTCAGTGGAGCATGATCTTTCTACAYAAATGTTTACAGTCTAATTACTGAACATTAGATAGTGATGTCTCCTGAAATTTGGTGTCTCCTTTTGTGTGAATAYTCAGAGAATGAGGAATTAATAGAGAAAACCATGAGGGTCTTGAGAGGAAAACACAAGCCTCTGTATTTTTCATCATTAATTTTTTTTAATTAATTGCTTCTATTAACAAAGATATTGTGTATTTGATTTTTCATCTTCTGTTGTCTGGAAAAATTTGGGACAAATAGCACAATCAAAAAAATTGGATTTCTATTTGGTCTGAACTTCTAGATTTCCATTTTAATAGGCAATGTTAAAATACCACRTCAATATTTCCTGTCACCTCAAACAGGCCAAAAGTCATTGCATATTTTTGCTTTCAAAAARGGCCAAAACCCTCATGAAATGAAACCAAAGGGGATAAACATCAACTTTCTAATATAGGGAAGAATCCATATTCTCCCAAATCAAGTGACTATTGTATCATTAGTTCCCCAATATAATGAATATCAGCATTTTTGGACCAATAAAATAAGTATCAGCATTGTGGGACAAAGATATTTTAGGTTGTTTTCATAAGTAAATAAGGGTCCCATGTTTTTTTCAAAATGTCAGTGTGAATGTCTGTCTGTGTCCCCCAATGATCTTTCAAACCATACACCAGTTTTAGTTAAATTTGATATAAAGGTATAGATCTTAAAGGTATTGCTTTTCTTATAGTTCAGTAAAACAAGGTAGCTGACTAGAAAATAAATTGTTCATTAAGGAAAAAGCTTCAGAGGGAGTCTGGCTCTTTGAGAAACACGAAAATCYACATATTTTGGGCTGGGTGTCATTGGATGGCCATGTGGTCAACTCAAGATTAGCCTTAGTTCAAAATTTGCATGCTGTCACACATCTGTAAATTAAAAAAAACCCCACAGACAACACCCCAGGAAATAGGATTCATTAGTTTGACTTTCCTGGGATTACTCTGGTATGTAAATTTCATAATTCCTTTATCAGATCTGTGAAATGTGTTTACATTGGAAATAGGCGAAGCAGTTTCGTATTAAGGATGAAACTGAATTTMGTTTGCTAAGCTGGGCTTCTGCAAGCCCTTCAAGGCTGAAGCCACAAACTTTTCAAGGAAGCAATTTGCACTAAACAGATGTGAAAACTGAAAATTCAATCTGTATTAAACCTTTGCATATTTCAACTTAAGCAATAGTACTTTTATTCTATGTGTTAATTTTCAAGACATGTTTCCCTGCATTTGCAGATAAGAAGAGCCCCTCTGTTGCAATTAAAAGCAGACAACAGGCTACTCATGATATTAATAAACGACGCACCCTTTTGCAAGATAACAGTTGGATAAAGAAGAGACCTGAGGAGGAAAGGTAAGAAAAATACAAAATGCATTTCTTCCATATTTTGTTCAGTAAGCCATGCACCTTTATATGGAATGTCTACTATTGCATGGATGGTATCAGCCAAAAATAGGGGAATTCAATCAAATAACTCTTATTTATTTATCTTGATGAGGTGTTGATTGCCTTTTGGAAATGTTATGTTGCTGAATTTACACTGACTTTATTTTTTATTGGGACTTTTGAGTGCTGTGTATTTGATRAAGTTCTTTGATGAAGTTCATGTGGATTTCACATGTTTAGGTTGCAAGATTATGATCTGATTCTTTCTTTTTACAAGCAAGAAGATTATAAATCTTGGCAAGTTCTTTTACGGAGCTTAAGTCAAAACCAGTTTAAATTTACTCTAATGTAAATACTAGGACTTGCATTATGGCAGAAACAATGTCTTGAGACCATGTTATCGTTATCTGGTCTATGAACAGCTTGTAGGAAGAGATAATTCTTTCTCCAGAATATCTGGATTCTTCTAGATACTGAAACATCTTTTCTTCTACTGTGGTGTTCTGCAGCTGGTGTAATTATAGTGGTAGTGGACAGWTGTGAAATCTGATTGAAGACAGAAATCTTTCGCCAAGAAAAGGTTACCTATTTTTAATACTCCAGGTTTTACTAACTGTTGTTTCTCTTTTGTTGAAGTGCTGATGAAAACTATGGAAGGGCCGTGCTTAACCAATATAAATCCCAAGACAGTCTACATAGGTACGGTGGAGTATCTAAATGCCTTTCTAATTATATTACCAAATAAAACTGAGTACCCTTTTATTACCTCTTGTTATAGCAAGAGCTTGCTTTGTTCAGTTTTAGTCTATACATATTTTCAAAGTAAATCTGACTCCAGTGTAARTAACTGATCACTGCAATAGATACAGGGTTGTATCTATTGGCACCTGGATGGTCTAAAACTTATGTCATACCTTAATCTGAGACATATTATTTGTCTAATTAATGGTGAGTTGTTTAATAAAATCAGTGAACAAAGTGGAATTTCTAAACTTTTTGTTACAGCAGTAACATAAATGAAAAGGAGGATCAGAAACCTGTACTTGGACGATATAGATCTGATACCACCTTGGACAGGTAGGGCTTTTTTCTGTATGTACTGTATTTTGTGATTGTCATACCTGTGAGAGGTCTTAAAAATGAAAGAATGGATGAAGCCAGTGCTTTTTAAAACTTTTCTTATTTATTAAGTGTCTAATGAAAAGACTTCAAAGGATCTTTGCATGAATTTTGATTGAGATAAATGGAAATGTGATTTGAGAAAAGGTTCTTTYGACATCTTACCCTTTTTTTTTGGTACCAGTTTCTGCATATTCTTGTCCTCATAAATGTGTCTTTTCACAGATGATAACCACTCCTCCCCAGATTCCTCCTTTCCAAAGAGCTATTGTAGTCACATCTCCAGCTAGGCACAACACAGCTAAACCTATAGTTCTTTGCAAATACCATGATCAGTACCAATATCAGAGTCATGTTTGTCATACAGGTGCTTAATTTGAATGTTCTGTTCAGCCCTGACCTCTGTTGGGTTAATACAACACCATGCTTGTGTTTGCAGATTCTTTCTGTATTGCATCTTCAAAATCCATCTACCATTAACAYCTGGTATTCAAAGCATGCTGAGACTATGAGAACCAGCCCTGATAAGTGCCCTGTGAAAAAAGTGCACTTTGTTTAGTTGGTTTTTAGTGCTGTATAATTTTATTTCATGATCCTTATTTCTGTCAGAAGAAACATTTCAAAATTGTCACATAACATTTACCTTCTCCACAGAAGTTTGAAAAAGAATAGGCTAGAGATTTGTGTGGYATCACCATCCTGCTTATTCTTCTACAGCCCAGTGAATGCTGCTGTATTTGCTCACTCATCACAAGGAAGTCATTCTATAACTTCAATTTACCTGTTGCTCTTCTCTGTGTCTTTTTTCTTTGCATGTTAGTGTTTTTGATCTGGGGATCTGAATATCCATGTAGGTATTTGAGATGGGTGCACACCTTTTATGGATACAGAGGACTAATAACAATGATATCTATTTMATTTGCAATTCCTCCCCTTGTACTTCATAACATTGAATTTGCTCTTTTGAGTGCTGCTGAGAATTGAGTTTTAAATTTCACAACATTATCTATATAATGCCAAGATTTCTTTCCTGGGTGATAATAGCTGGTTCASAGATCAATTGTTTCTCTTGGCAGGCCTTGCTTTGCATCTTAAGAAAATTGACTGTCATCTGCCGTTTTAGAAATCTGACATGTTAGCAGATTACTTCTGAAAGCTTTACCAGTCACCATTTTTTTGACTACCACAAATTAGTGACATTGGCAAGCAACATTGTCTCACTCTCCTTTTTTTTCCAGACAATTAATGAACATATGGAAAAACACAGGTCTTGTACAAACCTCCCACTCTGGAAACTTGCCACTTATTTCAAATCTTTGTTTCCTACCTTTTAAGCAGTTATTTCTGCATGGAAGGGCTTTCTCTRTTACCATCAGGAGATTGGTTTACTTAAGAGCACTTAAAACAGATTTCTATGAAGCTTTTTGKAAATTTAAGTAGCGTGTATCTACTCTGTCAAACTTTTCCACATGGTCATTCACTTCAAAACAATTTTTAAAGCTTGGTCTTTGTGCCTCAAACCCTGACTACTAATTTAGAAGTCATAGGACAATTCCAGTTTCTACAGTGTCACTGAGGAGCACTGCCTTTTTGCATTCTATATATTTTTGGTTTACGCTGAGTTATTGAAATATCTGATTTATTTAAGGTTGTAAGCTGACTATTGTTGTGTTTTAATATACACAAATATGTAACATAGAGGGTTATGTGTGCTATGCAACTGATGACAGAGAATACCAAAAAAGATTTTAGGTGTGAATATACACTTCAGATCACAAGAAGAACATACCATGAAGAACATACCATAAGTGGAGTAGATAATGATGCTTCTGCTTTGAAATTATCACAATGAGGAAKTTGTGGTCAAGTTGTTTATATTCCTCAGTAATCAATGGTCTTCTCAAAACTGTGGAATACAGCCATTSCAGGATTAATTTGTGCATACCTGTTGCCAGGAGGAAGTTTTAKAGGGAATGACCACAAGTTCTACAACTCCTCAAATTTGCAACCTAAGGCAGAAAAGGGTGTGGTGATTTATCTTCTCTTAGCACCTTTTTTTTGTAGTTGGTTTTGGTACTTCTGCTTCCCCTGTGAAGGATGTTCTCTGCTTGGTATGATTCCATTATTTTCTTATAAATTATTTCTGACAAGCACAGCCATAGTATGGAACTCTCCAAACTTACACCAGACCAGTTTGCAGAACATCTATATTGTTTATCTGCTTGTGTGAAAAAGCAGTATTTTTTTTCCTGTYCTGAACTCAAATGCAGAGTTGAAAATGTAGCATGTATTTGGAACATAGAAAAATCTCTAAAGGACTGTTCYTAGTAGGTGCTTCTAGAGAAGAATTACCTTGATATTGGAGATTTCTCAGACCTGTTTACAGTCTTGTTGCATATATGGAAAATAATTTCTGCCTAGATAAAATTGTGTAAAATGGGAGCCTTTTGCCCTGCAAAATAGGGAGTTATTGTTTTCAACCTGTATAGTAGAACATCTTTTCACAATTCTGCWGCGCATCTCTTCTGGCTTATTTTCAAAATGAATAAAATGGACGACAGATAGAATCTTTAAGGTTTTAAAACGAGAAAATATAAAGCTATATAAATCATTGTGCTGGAATATTGAAAATATACAATGAAATGTGAAACAAATGCCGGTTCATTGGCGAGTGGGGAATGAGAAAGAACTCTCCTGGGGGGGGGGGGGGTTTGCATCCGCAGCAATGCCAGCAGGTTTAGTGAGCCCTCTAGCGATCTTCCCAGCAACTGGAGCTGCTGTCTCAGCCACAAGCTGCCCTGACATGAGCGGGGTCTTTGCACACTTATATTTAAGATTTACAAAAGATGCAGAGCACACAGTGGTGCAGATCGTGTCTCAGAATTCCCTGGAAGGCTTTTCATTAAATACAATAGTATTCTGTGCTGCTTGAAGGCAGGATACAAAATATTTTATATGTACACATGAGATTATAGTTCTAGGATTAATTATCTTGCATCTATAGCTTCAGTTTATAGATGGTAGCAGTAATTAAAATCTTAAAATTTATATATAAATTGTAGCTCAAGATGTGTTTCAGCTGATTTAACCAAATACTTAAGATAACCCTTTCAATTTAGTATTTGTCCTCTATTTCWAAGTACTTCACTTTCAGCTTTTCAGAGTCCCCTGTTCTTACTGAAGAAAGCTGGACTGAAATAAGAATTTAATCTGCTTCAGCTATGATAGATACATGGTGTTTTCTGTGTAAATTTTGAGGGGTTTTAGGCAACAACTGTAGAATTCCTAAAGGGCTTGAAAAATCATGTGGTTGTTTCTTCATGTAAATTCATGGCTTAATGAAATCAATTCAAGCACAAATAATCCAGCTTCATTCATAGAAGTTGTTCCTGTAGGTCAATACCATGCTTTGCCAGGGATTTTGCAGCAGATTATTTTCACATTACATTGATCTATGAAWTCTGTAAAGAAAACAACACTCTTACGTTTCTCTAGGGATGGTGAGGGAGAGGAAAAGGCAATAGTTCTGTGTGTATTGCTTGATTCTTTTTCCGGTATTCTGACCTAATTCAAAGGAGTTGTAATAAATTAACTGTTAGCAACAGTGAGGCTTAATACAGTATTATTGTTTGAACATCACCTTTGAAAAACTTCTTCAGAGAGCTAGAATCTTCAGATAATAATGCACTAAATTTATTTAATTTAATCTTCTGTTCTACACAGATATGTTTTGATTCTGGGATATTTTTAATCAGTACATAGAGCAAAATGATACTCCATCTTTTGATTTTATTGAAAATGGACTTAAAAAAATTGTAGAGTGTGTATTAAAAATARTATCTGTGTTTCTGACAGAATTCCAGCTGGAAATGATACTGATAAAATAAATAAATCTCCCACTCTGAACCATAAGCAAAACAACAGGTATGAATTTGAGAAATTTTATCATCTAAATATTATGAATAGTAGTTCATCRTGTATCATTTACCATGCATTATCATCTAAGTATTATATGTTATCATCAYGTTAGAATTCAGGTGCGTACCAAGACTATATAGGGAAATTATTTGTATGACATATGGCCTAGTGTAGGCTCCATTTGACCACTTGACCTCTGGAATGTAGCCWTCTATATCAGAATTATTATAGACTCTTTTTATAGCTGGTGAGGAGAAAAACATTTTCTTTAGAATAAGAGGAATTTTGCTTAAAGAAGCMTATTTCTCCACACAGAATAAAAGGAAGACCAGCTCAGTTGACATTACTCAACATAATGATTATTTAATAATAACAGTATTTTAAATACAAACAAAAGGAAGTGTAAGAGCATTTTGAAAACTGTGGGTATATTCTAGAGCTCTAGACTTCTCTGCATGAAATCTACCGAATATAATACATAATTCTGAGGAAGGATACATGAAAAAAATTCTGATTAATACTTTAAGTGGAAAATGGCATTTTGCATTGCCAGTGGAAAACCTGGGTACCAAAACATAAAAAAAAAATTTTTTTTATAGTTTAGCTGATTTTTCCAGTGGAAACTTTATCTTTTATCAGGAATCCAGTCTTTTGTTTAAAACAAATTTTAATTTGAAGTTTTAATTTAAAATAAGCACAACATTGTTGGTGAGCTATTAAAAAGTTGCTATGATTCAGAGGTGGCCACTTTATGCRTGCAATATGATTCCACAACTCTGAAAAATTATTTTCTAAAAAACTTACACCTCAYTGAAAGTTTTATTTAAGTAAGGTAACTCAGAAGAACTCAACCTCCATACTTGTAAATGTAAAGGGACAAATGCATTGCTTTGTGCCTTCATCAATGTCAGCTGAGTTCTGTCAGTAATAAATTACACATAACATAGTTGTTAGAGAGCACAGCAATTAAAAGTCATCTTGTGAAGAGTTGAGCTATCACTCTGAAGAGCAAATTAGAATCTCTGGCATTTAAAGTTCAACTGAGGTCATTCTTTCAAATTATAATTTTGCACCATTATGTTGTAAATCATGGTGATGATGACACATGAAGCATCATATAAATTATATTTTATGGGTTTTTTTCTAGAGATGKTTTTTTAACAGACCAACAATAATTTTGAAGTGGGACTTTAGAGAGACTTAAACTGTATATGTGTTTTCCTGCCAGAGAGCAGTAAAATAATTTGTAAAGTTWTATTCTTCAATTATTGTTATTTTGAATTGTGAATGACTATCATTAAGAATTGCAGAGCATAAGACAATAACTTTTTGATGAATTTCATGAGAAATCACTGTCTTGGATTTTATATAATTTAGTTTTACAGACATACTGTAACATAAAGCATCTTACTTGAACAAGAAGTGTAAAATTTAAAGTATTTATATTAAAGATATTATTATTATATTGTTTGAAGACTAAAGTGTAGGTATAGAAGTCTAAATTTTAAGAAGTCAGAAATTACTTTGGATATCAAGAAAAAATGCAGCTGCCCTCTAAACATCAGAMCCCCTTAAGTTCTCCCCCATCTTGTGTCCTTTGAGGAATTCCCAGAATTTAGTTGGCTTATATAAMCATAGTTATAACATTTACCACATACATTTGTAACATTCTGATGGGAGAAATATGATTTCTTTTAATTTTAAAAATAATTTTAAATGATACTCTTTTTGAAGATCAACTCACTAAGTATATTTCCTTAACAGACAATCTTGGACTCCTAATGCAGCATCCACAAACACTGCAGCCACTTCTCCARTCAAGAAAAAAAGGTATTAATTACCACTGCTTGCTTGCCAGAGGATATATAGCATTGTATTAAGCCTCAGTAATGTATCACAATTACATTAAAAAAACATTACTAACTTCCTCCTCCAGAATGCTTGAAGTCCTCAGCAACCTTCAAGAATTAAACTTTTACATCCTCTGTCTTTTTACATGTGATTTACAAGGTTGTCTCTGTAGAGCCAGTTCTGTGAGCCTGATGTAAATGGTACAGCTGGTGCACACCCTTGGATGCAGCCTCTAACTCAGCTGGAGTACGCATTTTCAATGTCCAGATTTAAAGAGTCGTAGGTCATTGTAATTGTGAAATCTCTGACGCCAAACTTGACCTGTGCTGTTGCAGTGCATATGAATCACAGTTTCCTGAATGATACACAGCTACCTTCAAAAATCCAGATTTCAGATAGTATTATCTAGGCAAGAATAAAAGCAGGGTGTAGAACTAAGTATATTTATAACTYAAAATGTACTGATGGTGATAGCCTTTTTTTCTGCATATTCCCAGCTGCAAATTCAGTTCATTTGTGATTTTMTATTCCATATTTCATATTCCATATTTCATAYCTCATATTTCATGCATTTAAAATGTGATCAGTAGAATAATAAATGTAGAAATTTAAAAGTCATCATATTTATATTTACAGACCTGTTTGTTTGGTGGAAGTTTATGTTGTTTTCAGTCCAAGCTCTTGGCAGATATGGAGGGCCATCAATGAGTTGCACTGATTCTGGTGTAATTGTTTTTACCACACAAACAATTGCTGAATTGATAGTTTTGAGGGTTAAAAAAAACAACAATTAAAGGAACTGAAAGTGCTTGTGCTGTTTATGTGGTTTCTAATAGCCTGATTGTGCTCCTTGTGTTTATACTTGACACCCTTTCCTTTGTGCATTTTATCTGGTTGTCCTTTCCATGAAAGATCCATTCATTTGTACCACTCAGATTTCAGAAAAGACCACCAAGAGTCATGGAATATATTTTTTGCAATAAATAAAATCACTTTATTATTTTCTATTCCATTCATTTTTCTGTAAATAAATAGTCTAAAAAGTATCAACATGCAGTCTTTGAAAATGCTGATAATTTAAGAAAAGTTTCAAGTATTTTTACATCACTTCTATTCTAGCATTCAGTGTGCTGTTCAGTCCCAGAGCATTAAACTAAACTAATACTCAAAAATTTATTTATTAAAATTTACAGGCAATCTTGGATGCCTCCCCCAGTTTCRAGTAGCAAGACACCAACAGAAACACTGGAAAGCAAACGGTGTGTATTAGTGATTGCTTGTTATTTCCTAACTCTTGTCTAGAGATGATTTGGRGAGCAAGAAAGCAGCACAGTTCTTTGATGGACTGAGTTTGATGTGTAAGATTCCATGAAAAGGGAAAGCATCCCATGTCTAAGTGCTTGTTTGGGCTCTTTGCTGCCTGATGCCCATCATTGTCTGGGCCTTGAATATTCAAAGTGCCAGCAACTTGAGGTTACAAAAGTGCTCCCAAAATTTTTTTATCATGCTTGCATTCTTTGTTCATGGTTTCACTTTGGATTATTCCACTTAATTTTCCTCAAGGCAAATGTGCTGTAGAGAGACTGGGAATAAGGGTAAGAATCTATTGGTGCCATTTGGTTTTAGTCAGGGGTTAACCCTTGGCTCTTTTGGGTAACAGTGTGAAAGAAACCCTCAAAATCTACTTGGTGCCCTGTCAGCAAAGAAATAGCTTAGAACAAAAGATCAAACTAAAGTTGCTTGCAGAATGTTTAATGTTTATTTCTGAAGCTGTGGTTRTTTTCTGGCAGAATATGAAGAGAACATGGAACATTTCTTGTTCTGTTATCTAAAAGCAGAATATGGATGGTTTAAAATATTAATAATAAGCTTTCATTGTATTMTTTGGTTATGTCCCCTATTGGCTGCAGCATGGCCTTCAGCTTCCCTAGTTTAATCTGGGAAACTTCTAACATGAGTTTCATGTACAGCAATGATGAAAATTAAATGAAACAGAAATGAATGAATACACTGTCATGTTAGATGTAAGCCTTGGTAGACTATTGCCCAGGGAGTTTATGGAATCTCTGGCACTGGAAAACTCAAACCCAACTTTAGTAATTATTTTTAATCTTTTTCTGTGTTTACTACTATCTATCTGTTTGGCCAGGATTCAAAGTCACTCTCCACCCAGCAGAAAGATGGCTCCCAGATGCTAAAGTTTATCTTCTTTGAAGTCAGTCCTTACTAGATGTTCTCAGTGTGCCAACTGAGAAGAATTTATCTGGCTTCATTTCAATATTGCTAAGACCATGGTAACTTTGAAAGCATAGGATAATACTCTATATGGCATCCACCCAGCTTCCAACAGCAATTTGGAATTCCTGTATTCTTCTCAACACTAGTCTAGTCTCATAACTCAAAGAAGATTGAAATACAGGCATATTCTTTCTTAAGCTTTCATGACCCTTTCTGGATGCTCTAATAATGCCATCATCAGGAACAGTTGGTATAAAAGTGATGGGCATGTAATGTTTACTTGGTTTATCTTTTTTGAGAGCTTTGAAGATGTGAAAGCTCTTTCAAATTGTAAATATTGTTATAACAAAAAATATTTACCAAAGGAAAGCCTTTTACTTGCCTATGAAATTCAGGAAATAAAATGCCATGCGTAGATGGTAATAGGCAGTTTCTAAAGGTTACTATCAGTCTTAAGGACTGAGCAAAGAACTATGCCATCTATGTCTTCAAATCTGAGAATGGTGACTGCTCTGCTATCCTCAGGAAGGGAGTCCAGCAATCATGAGTAGGTGGGTTTTCTTGGTCAGGGTTATTTATATATCTTTGTTATTCTGAGATGTGATTCTAGCCTTCCACAGCTAAACATGATATGTAAACGTCCCGAGTTTTTTGCCTCAGTTCCCAGCTGATTGAACACATTTTACAGAACACTTGAAAAAAAATTGCAGTAAAGCTAAGACTAGTAAGTAGCTCATTGTAACTGAGTTTTATGGTTGTGCTGAAAACAAAACACWATTAATCAAAGAGATTAACTGAAGAATTTTGATTGAACAATGATTGTCTCAGTAACGTAAAGAATATGGTTTAAATTTAGTGCTATGCTACTTGAGTTAAACAGCTATTCTGCATTTAAAAAAAAAGAAAAATATTATATTGGAAGGAAGGAAAAGTAAAAGTAATTGCTGCTGATTGATCTAAATTTTGCAAAGTCCTTCAATACTACTTCATTTTGCTACTTGGTTTGTGAAATGTTTATTCTTTTCTTTCTCTAGAACCACTTCAGCAAATTCGGAGACTCCAACAACGTACGTCTAACTTTGCTCCTTAATCGATTTAGTTATGTAACACACTCCTTTGCAAAAACCTTGATTATTATTTTCCATTTATTTATAATACAAACACTGTATAATTTACCTGGGAGGGCACCTCTGTAGTCAATGCTGCAGAATTGCCTGAAGAAGACTTCCTTCCCTGCAGAAATGCAATTATTTGCATATAGCTTAGAAAATTTCATTAGATATTTACTCAAATTWWAAAAAAAACAAACCAMCATTAAACTGCATAAAAATTAAAAACTGCTTTGCAATTTTCGTTCCAGTTATGTATGTTGCTAATGCAAATACTCTTTCATATTCAACTGATGCTGTATAGCCAATGAAAAAGAGAGTGTGAGCAAAGCAAAGACTGTTAAATAAAGAAGCTCTGCACATGCAAAAGCTTGTAATAGAAAGCATTAACTTAAGATGAATTGATGTAAGGTACTCAAAACTTATTGAGTGTCTACCAAGGATGCTCTAATTTTAGAAAATAGACTTATTAAAATAATGCATTAATTAAATTAACACTTCACATGGTCTAAATTAAGAAAAGATTACTTAACCAACCTGCAATTTCATGATTTATAATTAAGACAGCTATGCAAATTGTCATGGTTTAGTTACCATACTAACAGAAAAATTCTCTAAAGAAGTAGGTAACCCTCATCAACTCTATCTGCCACCTTCTCCCTTTCTTATAATTACTCATAATTTTAGTATTCTTGTAGTGACCAATTTGATTGCTCACCTAAACAAAGAAAAATAGGAAAGTGCAAGTGTTTATTTAGCTTTTAAAAAAATCAGAACTTTGCTAGTTAAATTAAAGTTTTGTCTTTGTTAAATAAGATTTATTTATTAGATAGGAGAAAAGGTTTTTCAAGTTTTTTTAACTTCTAAAATAATTTCTGAACTGTAAAGAAACTCCTCTTTATTGCTATATAAGTATTAGCAAAACAGCTAGACTAGGGATATAAGTTTTTCAAAAGGCTCAGTGGATGTGGTAATCTAGTGAATTAAAGAAATACATTCTTTTTTTTATATATATGTATCATTCTTTTTACACACATTATCTATACCTACGTATATATATTATATATATTATATATATTATATATATTTAAAGAAAAATAAACAGAAAAGAAATTCCCAAAGAAATTGCTAACTCATTGTAGCTACGCCTGAAAGAAATGTAATCTCTACAATGATAAACCATTTAAGTGATACAATGTGTTTTCAAATATCTTCTTGTGCCTTAAGTATGTTTTCACCATYCCTGTTGCAGGGCTGCCCTTTCACCAGAGCAGGTGACACCTCAGAAATCAAAGACTGATGTGGAGGATCAAGCTACAAGGCCACATAAACGGTATAATCAAAATGATGTTTTGATAAGCATGGATTAATGTATTATTTTGTACTCAGTTTGCTTTATTTCTATATTTGATAGCTCATTTGGACAGGATATGTGATTAATGCAGCATTTATCCAGTCCTAACARCTGGCCTGGAAGTACAAACTCTCAAATAAGTTCCCTCTCATTGACTTGCTAAGTAATCTTAGATGTTTYGTTATTTAATCTTTCAGTCTCTCCAGCCTGCAGCAGGTAAGTAGTTGGATAAGTATGGATTACACAGTGTATTTCCTTTGCTCTTCATGACATTGCGGGAGAGGTAGTAACTGCACATTACTATGTATATAAAAACACCTCAACTTGTGCATTGTAATGTTAATATTTTGAATGGCAAAACCCAACATACACCCTTTAGGGTGACAAAATCAGTATGTTTCAACAGGTGGACTTGTTTTTGAGGGATGAGTTAGATGGCATATGTACTAATATTTGAAAGTCTGCAGAATACCATGAAAACTGTGGGTGAAAATTACAGACTTTTTTTAAAATTTTTTTAACGAAAATTTCAGCAAATTGTGAGGTTCTTTACTGATGGAGATGTTATATTTTTCAAAGCAATCAGCAATAACTRCCCCATCTCTGGAGTGTTGCAGGCCAGGTTGGATGGGGCTGTAAGCAATCTGGTCTAGTGGAAGATGTCCCTGCCCATGGGAAGGGGACTGGAATTGGATGATCTCTAAGGTCCTTTCCATCCCAAGACATTCTATGATTCTATGATTCTATAAACATGCAAAAAATTTTACTCTGTGACTTTGACCAGAATAAAATGCCTGAATATGCAATTAAAAAATGAATTCAATTAGAAACAGATTTCCAGATATGCTCTGAGAATTACAATAGCCCATTTGCAGTTTTTACGTGGAAATAGAAAATGGTTCAGACACCAAAATGAATTGAAATTAGCTAAATTAATTTATTTTAATTCATAAAATTCATTTTTGTGTGGTCTGAAGCCACAGTCTACACTATTTTGAATCCTGTTTTGAATCCCGTTTCCCTGCCTCAAAGTCCTCAGAATGTAAAACCAGTACAAAATGACTAAGAAAGCATCCAAAAGATGTCTGACAGTGTAATCCTTAGGAGAAGCTAAAAAAAAGCRATGTTTCAGTGAAACACTTTCCCGTTGACAAATGTGGGAGGTCTTAGAGAGTTAAATACGCCTAGTATTAACTAGAGAAGTCACAGTCATTCTTCGCTGCTAAGGGCTTGTTAAGGTCTGACTTAATCCKCACCCTCAATCAGTTCACATTCATCATCCCCTGGTTGCTCTCATTACCATATCAAGCTCTGTATTCCTGTCCCTTCATTGGTGAAGAGCTGGAGGAATATTTTATTGGTCTACGAGTTTCTATGGCAACACTGCACTGCTATTTGTGTCAGTATATAAAGTGTAAGTARTCTGTAATCTTAGTGGGCAAAATTCAGCCCTCTCTACTGCTGCTATAATTCCTTTACATTTGGCTGGTGCTTCAGATGTCATCCATCTGCTGCTGATGGGTTAGCTTCACAAAACTACAGATTTTTGTTAAGTTTCCTCTAACCAAAAATGCATTAATCAGCTGCCAGCAAGTGTTTTTTTGCTGTTAAAGATGCCACATAGATTCTACATTTTTGGCAAAAATGGTTGTGTCACACAGGGTAAGTAAACAGTTATAGGAAGAGTATATATAGTAACATCAATTATAGTATTAGAATACTRTTTTAACTTACAACCTGTAGTTCTTTATATTTTTACTTGGAATAAAAAGATTTTCAGGCCATGCTTTTTAAACTTAGACTTAATTGATTACTTGTCTTTTATTCAGGATTCTAATAATGATATTTAAGCAATAATGAATTCATTTCAGTAYAAAATAAGTGGAAAATGGCAATTGGCTTTCTATCAACTTGTCAGTCACACAAGGAAAWTTTTTCAGAAGGGMTTTACCTGAAAAGGATGCCAGATAYTYWCTTTTGGCTAAAATTGTAAAAACAACCCCCAATTTTTGCATTGTGTTCAAGGACAGCAGTTGAACAGACCTGGCATCTGTCTTAAAACACAGAGTGTGCATCTGTGTGTGTGTATCTGTATATGCACATACACACATACATATACACATACATATACACATATATACATATATACATATATACATATATACATATATACATATATACATATATACATATATACGTACATACACATGCTCACACACAAATATATACACACCTGCCTCACATCTGAACATATGGACCTCCTTTTTTCACCTGCTGGATATGGTTAACAAATGAAATAGGCATCTCCTGATTAACTAGGGCATCTATAACTACTCTAGGCAGTGTAAGTAGGCTAGGACACAGAAAAAGCAGAAATAACTGCTGTCTAATAATTGTGTATCTTTCAGAGCATAACAGGTCAAATCAGGTCTCTTGGTGTCTCACAAATGCAGCAGGAGATGAGCAATACACTGGATACGTACAGAGACGTTTTTCTGATTTCCTCAATGGGCCTTTTATTCGTTGCTTATCAAGTCCTTTTTGTGCRTTTTTCCACATCARTGAAGATGCAAGATTCTTGCTGTGCATTTTTCCATTCCATAATTGAATGGAATTATTAAATGCAGGTGTTTAAAAACTGGCATTTTTTTAAAGAACAATGTTCTGTAGTAAATCATGTTAAACCACTTCAAACATTCTGGTGATGTTTAACACTGCTTTGGTCGGTCTTTCATTAATGATTACAGTTAGGATAGAAAAAAATCTGTGCTTCTATAAAAGGCTTTTMTAATGAGGTTCACTTGTATTGAACTACACACCATTACAGAAAATAATGGTATTTGGCCCAGTGAACCACATTTACCAGGGCATTTACAAAGTTATTGCCACCAAAGGATGCAGCATAATGAAAAAGCCGTATTTCCACAAGTTCATAGACTGTAGAACTGGTGAATTAATCTTTTATTTTTCATAGATATGTCAGAATTAATCATAYTGGAAATATCTAAGGAAAAGCTTTTGAGGTGATAGTAACAGGAACAATACTAGAGATTAGAGAGAGATCTCACTCAGCTCTTAAAGAATCTGTAGTGAGACTGTCTGCTACCAGGGAAAGACTATTAATCTGTAGGGGCGAAGGGCATATTGCAGAAGCTCTTACCAAAGGATGTCTTTTTGGTATGCCAGCTACAGAAGTTACCTTGCAGAAAATATTTCAGCTGTATATTTGTAAGTATGTGGGTGAGACAGCAATTTCTAGGGAACAGAAACAAGGGACTAGAATAAATTTTTCTGGCATAATTAAGAGAATCCTATATTCTTGCTCCTGTACAAGTTTTTCCTATAGTGTACAGGGTAACTATTATTACTCCTGTCAGGTAGTAGAAATTTCAGACAATGCTGTAAATCTCTGTGCACTATGCTCCTTTTTAATAACATTCCTATTTGACCCAAGATGTGTTCCCAGTYCTCATTGCAATAGATTGTGAAAGAACATTCATTACCTGTGCTTGAACTAACTCTTGTAATAACGACTCACATTTCTATGTGTATCAACATCTGGGAACTTGGAAAAGTGGAAAAAATAAAAGACACAGGGTGTTTTCAGATTATTTAAAGAAAAAATAGTAAACTGCTATTGACTTGGAATTTTCCAAACCAATGGAATTAAAACAATGACACCAAGTCTCCTAACTTTTATTGACAAAACTCTTCTTGTTCTAGAGCTRTGTAAAGCACAAATCTGAGAGAACACATAAGTRTGTTTTGAGACRTTGGCTAATTGTGTGTTCTCATTRGATTGCCATCCCTGGAAGTGTCCAAGGCCACGTTGGAAGGGACTATGGGCAACCTGTTTAAGTGAAARGTCACTGGCCACAGCATGGGAGCTGTAAGTGGGTGATCTTTAAGGTCCCTTCCAAACCAGGCCATTCTATGAGTCTATGAGATAGGCATTGCCAAAGAGCACTAGATATATCCAAAGGAATTCTCTTAGGTGGGACTAAAGTTTAGATGGCCAAAATTTGGAGGCACAGCTCCTACACSAGTAATTCCTGTGTGTCTTTTCCTTTGGGATGTCTTTTATTTGCTTTGACTTTTTAGCTAGACCTTCTAGAGACCTCTAAAATGTTCTGGAGGACACCTGTGTCCCTTAAAAATTGTTGGAAGCAAGTATACTGAAACAGAACGCACATAAGCACACATAATTCAGTGGCTTGCTTTTGCTACAATGACAATTGTTTCTTTATGGTAAAGTGGAGTGGTTTTACACTTTCTAAATTGTTTTTTACTAGTACAAATCAATACCATGTATATATATATATATATATATATATATATATTTTATTTCAGCAGAAGGCCCTTCCTTCTGTCTCTCAATCCTGATAGATTTGGCATTCACTGGAAGGCTGGTTTGCAGCTTTTCTGCATGTTGATACAAATGATTCACTGTTGCACAGCTTGTCTGATGAGATACAAGCCCATTATTCCTAACTGAAAATTAATACAGTGCTTACAGGGTCATACATATCCTTCCAGAAAAACAGAATAAGTTTTCTTTTTTCAGTGATCTTTCCCAGTCTATCTCCTATAAAACATTCTGATCAACAACTTCTTCCTCYGTATTTAACTCCAAAATCCTCTGGGCTAAGCATTACACTGGTTTTGGCACAGTATAAATTGGCTTTCACAGTTGACTGCAGACTCTTCTGTTCCCTTGCCCTCAGCTGTTATTGATGAAAGGTCTGMGCAAGAGCTCCTGGCACTGATTAGTGAGCATAGCAATGTGGAAGGAAATGYACCCTGCTCCAGTATAAATGCCAATCTTTTCTCGAAAAATTCTTTTACTCATTCTCAGTTGTACTTGACAAAACCTGATAAAGCAGCCATAGCAGCAGACCAAAATTCAGCTGGGCCCATGATGTCAAACTTTATCCAGTCAGATGCCTGACACATTTAATATACTCTAGACCAGCTCTTTT